TGTTATAAGGATTTGTTTTTTCGAAATCATTTCAAACATAAAGGATTCTTCTCTTACAGATAAATAATCAATAAAAACAGGATTAATCCATACCTATTATCAATTTTGACTTTTGTTTTAAAATTTAGTATGTGGTACTTATGCATGTACATACTATATATTTGTCTGTAAATATTTTTTTTTTGGTATTTTATACATGTAATATACATTACTATGTTTATTATGTATTTGTTGACAAAGCTACATCATCCTGATGTTTTTTTAACTATTCAGTATTTATAGAAAGTTACAAGTTGGTTGGCCCCATTATTGTTCAAACTTACATGAATTAGGTACATTTATTTATCCTGAATTTGTAAATTTATTAAGGAGAAAAAATACATTATTTTATATCATAGTATGCATTTTGTGAACTTTATTTTTAAACTGAAATTTATGTAATCGTTATTATTTTAAAAACAACTTACCTACTTACCACACAAAATATAGGGTTGTTCGGAAAGTCATTTCGTTTTTTTTTGTGGAAATGAAAGACAGTTTTCGTATAATAAACAAATACTTTATTAAATTATATATTGACCGTTCTGGTCCAACACCTTTTGCCATCTTTCTGGTAGTAGCATAATTCCACGCTCATAAAATTTTTGGTCTTTGCTGGCAAAAAACTGATCGAGGAGGTTTTTGACCTCCTCATTTGAGGTGAAGGTTTTACCGTCTAAAAAATTTTGGAGTGACCGGAACAAATAATAATCCGATGGTGCCAGGTCTGGAGAATATGGTGGGTGTAGCATTGTATCCCATTCAAGCTGTAAAAGCTTTTGGCGAGTGACCAAACTTGTGTGAGGTCTCGCGTTGTCTTGGTGAAACACTACACCTTTCCTGTTGATTAGTTCTGACCTTTTCTGTTGAAGTGCATCATTCAGTTTGTCCAGCTGATGACAGTAGACTTCCGAATTAATCGTTGTGTTATCCGGTAAAAGCTAAAAAAAAACGATTCCTTTAAAATCCCACCAAACAGACAGCATCACCTTTTTTTGGTGAATATCGGCTTTGGAAATGGTTTGAGCCGGTTCATCTTTTTTGCTCCATGACCTCTTGCGTTTGACGTTGTTGTATACAACCCATTTTTCGTCCCCAGTGATGATGCGCTTCAAAAACGGATCATTTTCGTGACGTTTGAGAAGCGAATCGCAGACGTCAATGCGGCGACACAGATTTCTCTCTGTGAGAACATGGGGAACCCATACATCGAGCTTCGAGGATAATCCCAGGCCTTTCAAGTGGTCATAAACTGTTGAATTTGATAAATTTAACCTCAATCCGATCTCACGTGTTGTTATTCGCCGGTTCACATCAACTAATGCCTTTATCGCGTCTTTATCAGCTTCAACCGGCCTTCCCGAACGTGGTGCATCTTCGACATCAAAATTGCCGGATCGAAATTTAGCGAACCAGTTCTGGCACTGGCGTACTGTCAACACACCTTCTCCATACACATCAGTCAATTTCTTTCTGGCTTGAACAGCATTTTTACCCTTTCTGTAGTAAAACAGTAAGATATGTCGAAAATGCTGCTTATCGCTCTCCATATTTAAAAGGGCACCAACCAAAAACTACTGCGTAGAATTAATTGGAATTTTTCACACACAAGCCTTGCTATATGAGCTCTCAAAGCATATAAAAATTATACGGCTTAAATGTGAAGTTGGGTGCAAAAGAATACAATTAAATCCTTTGTCGGGAAAAAATGAAATGACTTTCCGAACAATCCTATATATTGGTGCTTTTCAGCAGTTTGTCATCCGCTTTCAAAAGTCCATTGTAAAATAGTTCAAAACCCCGTAATAATGCAAATTATTACGATGATAAAACTCGTTGGGTATTTATAGCCACAAAATATGTATACAACTAAACATTTCGTTCTTATCAGTCTAGCAGATTTGAGTCGTTGGAAAATTCCCAGCAAAGTTTTATTTCTAAATATAAAAGTAGTAACTAATGTGATAAAAAGCGCACAGAGTGACATGCGAAGAGATAACAATTTGTTCTCTGTAATGCTACATGCTACAAGTCATACGAAAACATTTTATGATATTATACACATATGTAACTTGACTGTATTATATGTAATTATCGCAATTATTTATTACAGTTGCGAATAGAATGAATTTTGTCTTGTAGATAAAAGTGTTGTGGCGCCTTTGCATTATTTTTCATTACTGTAATTAACACATGCTTGAGTAATGCTAATCAACAACACTACGTGTGCTACTATAATAATACTTATGTGTTTACCTATGTAATATTATGTAAAAACTTTTACGAATTAATTTTATGTTTCCTATTTTGCCAACTACAAGGAACTTGTTATAAATAAATCATATGATTAATTACGGCAGTTTTACTACAATAATATCTATTAATAGGCTTCTAGAGGTTCTCGATCTGCAGTTGCCCACATAACATACACGATATTCGCAGAATGCTCAATTGTAGCTAGGAACGTAGTGCAATAAAAGTTCCTTATTCACGGTTTCCTTATTCGCGTTTTCATTACTCGCTGGTGAAAAAATTGCAACCCGGTTCCTATATTCGCGCCTAAAAATTGCATTATTTTCAGATGGAATCGGTAAACAGAAAAGGATTCGGTGTCATTTGTTAAGGGGACTGACCCGCAATAGACCGCTCGTGCCAAGTGTAAATTTTTCCGAAAACATGGGTTTCTATTCTAAACATTGTGATTTACCGCTGCGAGATAAATATGTAATTTTTTGTATGGTAACAGACAAAGGTTTACACTAACTCGGTACGTTTTTGGTTTTCAATAATATGGTCATTAAAAGCTTTTACAAGTGCTTAAAGTTGATGCTTCTTGTACGATACGTATTTTCAATAGAAATTAAAAAATTACAAAATAGCCTTCGACAAGCTTTAGGACAAAGCTTACTCTATCTTACCACAAAATTTCAAACCGCTGTTCCAAATACTAAACTCATGATATCTAGAACCGATAAGCATGTCTTTACTCTAGGGCGCGTGTTCTACTGAATCCTCTTAATGTATGAACAGTTGGTACGTACCTAGGTAGCTTTTATAAAAGATGTAACTAATTTCAAAATTCAAAACAAGAAAAAATCGCTATAACGATTAATTTTGATTGCGTGTTTATCAGTACATTGATTTTATTTTGATACATATTGGTTTTATTTTGGAACCTTAGAACGTATTCCCGTATGATTCCATACTAATTATAATTCCATATCCCCGGTTTCTGTATTCGCGGCATATTTATGGAACGTATACCCCGCGAATAAAGAGCTTTTACTGTATGTCGAGATATATATATATATCGTATCCGAAAATTTTCCATTCNACTTCTGAATTGCTATTAAATCTACATATGTAGATATCGCATATTAATTATATGTATTCTGCTTTTACAAAGTAAACTATGTAGTTACAAATAGTTATAAGGTATTACCTGCATTAAACTATCGTAAATTCAGCAAGGGTGTTTCTTGGTCTAAGTGTTTTTCTTTAATTTTATCTTCGTAACATAAAGAATAATTTTAATTTTGTTAGAGAAATAACCTAAGATGAGTTGAGGTAGCTTCTGTTGTTAGGAGGGTAAGTTAGGTTAATATTTTTGTTTATAAATAACTATTAAAAATGAAAAAAAAGTGTCTCCCAATACTTAAAAGTAATGTTCGGCCCCCAAAATAACTCTAAAAGTATAAAAAAAATTTGGAGCAGTTTTGTGCTGGAGCTCATATCCTAAATAACTACCTGTACATGTATCTGTAAGTGCAAGAATGTAATGAATTAATTCATTTGTCTGCCTACGTACACAATTATTGTATACGCTATTAGAAATGAATTTTATTTATATTAAAAAAAAACTTTCGATATTTTTCTTTTTATCTACACGACAAATATCAAGTTAGTATTTTACTCTCTGTAGTAGCATTCATGTTATTCACCTGATAGGTAACGGATGAAAGGAATTTAAAACCAATCCAGGTAGATGACCGACCTGCTGGTGATTATGAAACACATTCTACCTTACATTTCGAAGTTTTAGTTATACATGTGTAGGCATTGCATTGTAGCTCCAAAGTAACGTGATGCAGTGAACAAAAAAAAATACGTGTGGGATCTATCTAGGCGGTGGATTTCTTTGTATTCAAATTTCGTAGGACGAACAAGAGGGGCATATCGGACCTAGAGATTTATCTCATCAGTTCTAAATTGTAAGCACTTAAATTTGACATGCTTGTCTCTCATTCTGGCATTCAACGGTCCGAGATAAACGATGCATTTCTTCGATGCGATGTGGGCTATTTTAAGAACGAACTTTAATTATTGTAGATTAACATTCTCCAAATCTCAGACGGATGCGGGGGTCCCGTTTGTTAAAGGAAAAAATTTTAAGTTATCAATCAAAAATGATTACACGCTTTTCTGAGGTAAAGCGACAGGTTAAATCATGAATGACATGAATTAAAAAATTCATTTGAATATGTATATCATTAATAGCTACAACTACAATAACAATGAACTTTCGTAATTGTAATATTACAATTAAAGTTTTAATTTTAATCCGAAAACAAATCTATTGCAATTGCATTATCATCATCGTAAGGTCGTCAGTCCTAAGACTGGTTGGACACGGACCTCCCCTCTTCCCTATCCTAAGCTAATATTCGTATTTTACTAAAACCAGAATATTCTACATCCTTAACTATTTGCAAACAGTAATCGAACCTAGGTCTACATATACCCCTACTAACTCCTGTTTCTGCCTCTAATATGTCTCTGACTTAACCTTCATGTCTAAAAAGGTGTCCTACCAACCTATCTCGCCTATTTTTTATTGACTTCCATAGAGTCCTCTGTTCTCCTATTATTATTATTGCATTATATTGAATATTTTTATTTTATTTTTAAGATTATAACCTGAATGTGTAAGTTCTACTTCAAATTGCGTTTTTTTGTTACAGTGCTGGATGTGCTCATCAGGTTCAATCATAATGCCGGCTGATTACGAAATGTTGGTTTCTCATAGTCCCCCCGTGTACACGCGTTTCCTGACGGACCATCACTTCCACATGGGTTACGACAGCTACCCCCGTTTTACTCAAGGGAATTGCCGAAGTTTGAGTGCAAATTCGATACCGATAACGAGCTTAAAAGAGCGAGAGCCGAGTCCGCCTCCATCGTCGTCGTCGACCAGCAGGAGACCGTGTCTCGTAACTCGCAATCAGAAGTCGAAAAGCTCCAACGAACTGACGGCGTACGGTAAAAAAAAGGTCGTTTTCGCGGACGACCGAGGAATGTCTTTGACCCATGTTAGAATCATGAACGAACCGTCGAATGTACCGCCGCTATTGAGTTCCAAGTTTCTCGCGGAAGTGACCAAAGGGCTCACGGCCGAACCGGAAGCTAAAACGGAACCGTGGGAGGTGACATTTCAACAACCTGCATCTGATTATGTAGGCTTTCGCGCGAAGTTAGACGAGAACAAAGTGTCCTTAGAGAATGTGATCGTTAAAGAATCGGAAGATGTTGTGATCGGTACGGTGAAAGTCAAGAACATCTCGTTCGAAAAAGAAGTTCTTGTTCGGTACACGTTCGATTCGTGGGAAACACATCAGGATGTTTATTGCACGTATCAACCGAGCCAATCCCAGGGGGCTACAAGTTCTGCATACATCCTCTACGACACCTTTACGTTCAAACTTACGTTACCGCCCAAATCCAGAAAGATCGAATTCTGTATATGCTTCAGGGTGAATGACGACGAATATTGGGACAATAACGGTGGTAGGAACTACGTGATCGCCAAAAAAATGTGTCATGTAAGTTACTCTAAATCAACCGATCAGCATATAAGCTCGGGTTCAGCAAGCAATCTTAAATATCCCGATGCCCTGCACGCTAAATTGACATCTTGGTCCGAGTTTGCTAGTTGGAATCATTTGGATAGTACTAGCCCTTACTGGTGATCATTCAAAGGTCTCTCTCTTACTACATTAGAAACGATAAGAGACCTTGTCGTTCGTACGTTGTTAGTCCCGAAACGTTTTCGGTAAGCAGTTTACAAAAATTATTAACATCTAAATCTTGTACTTACCTATATCGTAATGTAATGTGATGTGCTTAGTATCTATGCATTTCTACTATATATTTTTTTTCTATTTTCGAGAAAAAGTACTTGTTCTATTACTTTAACCTGTAGACATCTAAATCATGTTAAAAGCATTGTTTTCAGAAATAACTGTAGTTAAGATCTAAAACACTCCTGACACCAAAACAGTTGTGGTACCTGCAATTACGGTAATTTTAACAAAATCTAATTAAAATAATTTAAAAAACATTTAATAGTTGGGTATATTAAGGCAATAAATTAATTAAAGGCATTACTCATAACTCAATCGTCTGCCAAACTAAAATTCTCTCTTTTAAATCCTACATTGTAAGGTCTTTGATGATGGCAAGACAATACATCTTTTTCTCTACCTCATGCGCTAAGATGCGTGACAGTTTTAAAATAATAATGAGCAAGAAAAGCAAATGGAAGTTTCTATTCCCTTTTGGCACTAATCGTAAGCGAAGTAGTCCAGTGGTTAGATCGTAGCTTATCATTCGAAAGAATTTGGGTCCGTATGCCCTGGTCAAAATTTTTCGTGGATTGTGTACGCTATAGGCAAATACTGAGACTGACTCAAAAAGTTCCAAAAACTCAAAATCTACCAAACAATACTAAATGCAAATATCAAATAGCAAATCTAGAGGGAAGATTGTACTATTGTCCGAAAAGTTGCCAACCGGCTAGCACCATCTAATAAAAAAATTTTTGATTTGTACCCAATAGGTTTTTATTATTGGGTGTGTCTCTATTTTGGTTTCGTTTTTGGCATCGTTTTCAGAAATTCATGTCATCGTTGTTTTCCTAAAACCCACCATTTAGTTTGACTAAAATTTAAAAGTATCTAGCTACGTTTGGTCAATAAGTATGACTAACTTTTTTGGCATGACGTTTGCCAACTGTGTGTCCTTCGCGAGTTTGTGGGGACACACTCATATGTACTATTATTAGGCCGAAAAATAATTTTCGTTTACGACAATTATTGTCTGAAGTTGATTCATTTACCATGTGTAATTATTTCTCCTATTTTAGTGAACGAATTTATGATTAGCATCTGTAAAGTACACACTATGGTATTTCCTAAAATCCTAGAGGTTATTTTATCAGCTTGCTAACATTTCGTGGAATGCCTTTCTTTAGCTAGATACCTATCATATATTTTTAATAAAACGTTTTGTCATTTAAGCCTAGCGGGCACTGCGATTTTTTAGTTAGTCCCACGCAAAAATATAACACCGGCTCGTAAATGCATATTCAACTAAATAATCGTTGCGATTATAACAAAATTATTACGTAATTAAGTCACATAATCGGAGATGTATTGGAAATAGAAAATATTTATTCTGAAAAATGCGATCGAAATACAGAATGCAGAACACAATAGTCAAATGCTTATTAAAATAAAGTTGTTGTTGCTATTGTTTAGGTACTGTAAAGTTTATACAGAGAACAATCGAGTAGTTGGGTTTCTAAGGAATGTATACTAGGTACATTTAAGCATGTTACTATAGGTATAAGTCATAATTGTTTTCGAAGCTTTTTTTATTTTTGTTAATCACACATCTTCAGCAGTGGTGGACTAACAGGGAGTCGGAAGGGGCGTCCCGCCCCGGGCCTCCGATCTTGGGGGGTACCAAATGCCTCCACGTTCCCTTGATCAAATCCTAAACAAGACTTTAAAATGTGCTTAGTACCTTCATAATTGCATCAAGATCAAAACACTACAGCCATCTAGACTTTTCACGCGGTACTAATATTCTTTTAACTTTGCTGAACGCGTCCAATAGGCTGGGGGAAGTCCCGTCTTTGTAGCGGGTACTTCCCCAGGAATCCCTGAATGAATTAAATGCAAATAATTCAGTCTTGTACGCCTACATTTACATTCAGTACATTCTATTTACGTAGAAAAATAATCATATTAAATTTCATTACGTTGATATTTAATAATTTATTAGTGTGTTCTGATATTTTCGCGAACGGTAAGCCTTTTATCAAATTGTAAAGTAATAAACGCGATATTATCCGTTCAAAGTAATTTAATTAAAAAGTGTAATAGTGTTTTTGATTTTTGTTGCGTCAAGAGCGATTGGCTAATCTAACCGTGTTTTCAATAAAAAGAAAAAAAAAAGTATTAATGAATGCACCAAGTAAGAGTATGTGATCGACCAAACCCAATTTCAAAATGAACTTCATACTTTTGCCTAGGACAAACTAGTTTATCTGAAGAGAGATAGCATGTGGATTTTCATTGGCTTAGTCCAAACTGATCTGTCCAGAAATGTTACTCTCTGAAGCCGACTTCTGGAGAGGTTACTTTTATCTTCTTCCTAAGCCGAACTAACCATAACCTAAAAATGATTTATTTTTTTTTTCTTTAATGCCTTGTACCTCTTGAAGGTTAATGTTATGGTAAATTTAGGTGGTCCTGATTTAAAATTTAATCTTAACTGCTTTCTTGATATTCTATTTACCCTTTATATATTAAGCAAAACTAATTGATTCTGAAAATCGAGTTTGGCCGGTAGCAAACTTAGGATTAATAAAGTTTGGATTGCTTCATCTTATTTTTATTCTAAAATCGCAATTGACGGGTAACATACATATAAATACAGTCAAGTACAATAAATATTAATAAAGTTCTGTAACATTCTATTCCAATCGAACACAAAATATGTGTACGTACTGTTCGTTTCAAGAAGTTGGAGATATGCCCGTTCCCTTTATTAGGATGCGCCGTAGCGTAATTCCAAATTTAATCATATTTGTCTGCGTAGCTCATTTCTTCACCGATTATCGAGCGAGAGCTAGACAAAAGTGTACAGTACCATTTGCGAAATTATTTAAACTGCCTCGTTAAAATTTAAGAATATGCTTTATTTAAAAGCATATTTAGCCAAAGATAATAAAAAGTGAATTAACTTAACGCTCTACACACCTATAGAACTTTTGCTTTGTTTTCTATTCTTAATTTATATACATTTTTGTTTTAAGAAATTGCTAAACATTTTCGTCTAGTACTGTACAGTTTTGGCTGATCTCCTAAGACCGCCCGTCAAGAGCTCTGCTCGTTCAAGCTTGTTCCAACTATTTCTGTCTTGCTCACGCCTAGTGTGTATTCTTTCTATCTTCGCTCAGATATCTTCAAGGTCACAATTCAAACAAATTGAAATGGGATGTACTTGACTGTACGCTAAAAGCCATTAATACTTAGTGGTTGTCCCTGAAAAGTTGAGCAAATTCCACCTTAACCTTTTCAAGTTGTTAAAAGTCACGGATTGCTAATTTAGACAATAAAAGATTGTAGAAACATTTTAAGGACATTTTTCTGTCATTGTTACAGATAACGGACTCGGAGTCGCTGAAAATGCAGAAGAACAAAGCCCTGAAATCGATGGGTTGCGAATTAAAGGTAACGCCATGCGACAAAACAAAAATGCTAAATATTTTGGTTAAACGACTCACTGCTGCAGGTGGTAGGTACTAATTCTGCAACTACTACTACTACAACCCCTAAGTACTAGATTACTACTGCGTCGACAATACACTATTCAATCGATAAAAGGTCGATAAATGATTATGATGATGATGGTCTGAAAGAATCTTCTGTGATAAATATGATAGTAGCTTTCTGCTGCTAATAGTGCTTGACTGTCTCTTCTAGCAATAAAAACGAAAAGACTGATACTGATGATGATTTGAATGACTTTTTTACTAAGTGCATTACGAATACATACGAGTGAGGTGTCTAAGTGTCTAAATTCCATAAACATCTTGTAATTGATACATGTCCCTTCAGTTACTAAAATGCACCAATAGAATCCCACCCCATGTTTTCTGTACGATGTAACTGTTATTGAGATATTTTTTATTCTTAAAGAGCCACTGTCTATGGAATAAAACGTTATTACTATTATAATTACTATTACTTACGAGATATTAGAATGATATTTGGTTTATTATTAACGCCAGTTGCAATATAAAAATACAATACATATAAGACTGTAGTAAGAGTACCTAACGGTTGCTGAAATGAAAATCTTAACTGTAAGACTGAAAATAAAACATTTAATAAAGGTACAGTCGTGTCCCCAGCAAGTGTCTTAAAAGTTATGCGTGAGGTTGCGTAATCATTACTCTAGAGTCATGTTTTTGAAGCTACTTTTTTTAAAGGCGCATAATATTGAGGAGGATGTAGTTAAACAAGAAAAATGGTTGTGACTAAATATATTTCAAGATTTCCTGGATGAAAATCACTAAATTGAGATTTTCACTAATCTGAATTTAATTTTATTTATTATAAGATTGACATTGATGGAATCGTCTCTAAATTTTCACTAAGTTGTAATTAAGTAATTATTTTGAATCAATCGAAACCAAAAGACTGATGATGATATCGAATCGAATATGCACGAAACGTTTGTATTCCAATCTTCGGAATACTGTGTTATTTTTATTATTTTTCTTATATTAAGAAATATTTTTATAACAATTTCAATGGACCGTTCCTGACGTCGCGGTGTGTCAATTCTTATAATAAAAATAATTATTTTTGTTTTATCAATTCTTCAGTTGTTTTTAATTAACTAATTGTACGCGTGGTTAATCATCACTGGTAGCTTTGAATAAATAGATTTGGTAGGTACCATGCCCAATGTTAATTATTATTATTTTCAGTCCTAATGTGATTTTCTTTTGACGCTGTGAAACAATCGAAATATTAATACTGCTATCTACATGTAAAAAAAAAAACGATATTGTACTTCTGAATGAATTTATCTATAACAAACAAATGTAGTAATTCTATTTTATAGATATATATGTATACATACACCAGATAAATGCTTAAAACAATGTATATAGATACCTATGTGTACATAGAAGAGTCGTGGTGGTGCGCCCTATTTTTGTGTTTGAAGAGAAACTTATTTGAAATTGTCTAGTCAAGATATGTTTGTTATATATATTTTTTTATTTTACGAATGAAAGAAATATGATATATGTTATAGTTAGGACCTTAATAACGTAACTGTAAATATTTATTCGAGTGATGAGTTGAAAATATGTTACAGAAAAAGGGCACACTTGGTGTTTATTACTCTAATTTTTACTTACTTACTTAATTAATTAGTTAAAGGCAGTGGCTCCAAAACGATAATTTGTTGAGATTAACGATTTAATGTTAAATGTTTTTTTGTTCCTTTAAAAAGAGAGAGGGAGAGAAAAGTAGAGCAAGAGAGAAAAATGTATATTCAACAAACTGAGAATTTGTTGAATGCTGTACCTTATTTGCCATGTAATGTAATTCTTGTGTCATACAATATTGTATACTTTCATTGTTTATTTGTTGCTTGTCATAATACGTTTATATTGAAGATGTTTATATTTTATTATAATGAAGCTTGCCACCTGTGTAATTAACTTTTGATCGATTGGGCAGGTAGCCAAATCAGCTTCAAAAGTCATTAAAGTTCCTAGATGTTAGATTACTAAAAACAATACAAAAAAAATGTCAAATATCAATTGTTTTAAACAAACAGATTTTACAAATGCGATTATTTTATAAATATGTTATGCTGTTTGCAAATGTTATATCAAAACAAAAAAAAAATGACAAATACAATGAAACAATTGATAGTTTATATTTTTTATTTTTGTGTAAATATTGGTTTTAACTATATATTCCCGCAGTTATTTTATCATTTTCATTTGCAATATTTGTACTTCATTTCATTTTATATTAGTATATTCCCATAAACATATGTCTCAGTTGTACAAATTTTTCGCTATACCTATAATTGTACCATTAAGTTACTCGCGGTTGCTTCATTTAATTTTTTGATTTTAAACTTTTGTATCTTTTCACTCTCAAGAGTTTTTGTTAATAAAGGTGACGCTGATGGTTTTATCAAGTTGTTTCTTTTCTACATGAAAAAAAAATGCACAATTGATCCTTCCGGAAAAGCTACGTTTGAAGGCATGTAAGATAAGTGAACCGGATTACCTCAAAAACTGCTAAAATTTTATTACTGATGTTTTATAATGAATGATTGTTTGCAAACTTAATCAATAAAACGCTAACAATTCAAATTCATGTATAAAGTTGCCAAAAAGGTCTTTTACTTGCTTCAATTATTACACTTTCAGTTGGGGAGACTTTTTATTATATGTATGTATATGCATATTATTTATTTATTTATAAACAACCTACGGACTTAGTCCATTTACGTAGGTAATAATAATAAATTAATTACTAATATGTAGTTAACAAGTGGTCCACTCGCTATGATAAAAACGTGCTCAAAAAATAATTATAAACGAAATTAACAATTTATTCCTTCTGGAAGAAAAAGAAAACAAAAACCAATAAAATGAATTAGTATATTCAATAAACAAAATATTATGGATATGTAGTAATAAATGTGAAAAAAATCCGATCGGTTTCCTTAGGTAAGATACTGCAGTTTGTTAGAATTCGATCAATAGGACTAAAATCAATAATATTTGTGTCTGAATCTCAAGTTCGTTGCTTATACTTAGACTCGCTCTGCCAAGGAAGTTAGGAGAGTCAATGCTGCTTCTAATCAACTTGGATCCGAACAGAACATCATAGTACTTTCGGAATGATTCCAGGGTAGGTAATTTTGTTGTGTTTTCAATTTTTGAGTAGTCATGAAATAATGAATTCATTGACTAGCCCTTTTGGGATGCAAGGAATCGAAGGAATCGATGTCTAACCGACTCAATTATCTTATAGAGATACGCTTTTCAGGGGACCAAACTTGACTTTTTCGTTCCAGTACTTGATTATGAATATAATAATAATCGTTGTTAATTTGAGAACGGGCTGAAGGTCATGGTGCTACACTTGTCTATACTAATTGTAGAGTGTAGATCCTTGGAGAGTTTCTTCACTTCCTCTTTTTTTTTGTTTTCGTGTAAGAGGGGAAATCTTCAAAAGACACCCAGCCATCCGTACGACTGGGTAGTGTCGGATTCCCGAGGAAGATGTCCTCGGACCTGCCGACTAAAACCCCTCTACCTAATGCCGTTATAGGACCTATCAGTTCAAGTCCTCTTCAGCTGTATGTTTTATGTGTTCCATGATTGTATATTTAGTAGTTGTTGGTGTGTATGTGTGCATACAAGTGTACGTCTGTGTGTGTAAATGAATGTGCACATCCTCTTCAAAAAAAGCCTTTTAAAAAACTTGAGTGTTTCATTCCCACCAGCCAGTAATGTTGGTAGGCGGGCAGTACCTCCGGACTACGTCGGAAGGTAGGGCGGAATACCCTCTTCAGCCTCCTTTCAGGTATCGCGAGAATGGGTGGGTGGTGGTTCGGGTGAGAAAGTTGAGACGGACAAAATGAAGACAGAAGAGAATGAAAGATTATCTGTGGAATATTACTGCCCCAGCATTTTGCCTAAGTGATCCACGGAAACCATAGAAAAACTTGGACCAAGGCAGACAAACCAGGATTCGAACCGGCGTCCTCCCGAATGCTAACATAAGCAATGGTCTAAACCTCTAGGTCATGCCGCTCGGTTACATCCTCTTCTGTTGAGATAGGTTTATATAGTTTGCAGTCGTCTCCATAGAAAGAGATATCGTTATATGTGACTGAGGAGATGACATCGCAGTGCAGCAGTAAATAGTAATGGTCTGCAATGAGATCCCTGTGGAACTCCTCGAGCTTAATCATATTGGCGATGATGTAGTGATATAGAAAATACGCCCCGTAATTAATTTCAGTTTTCGTGGAAAATTAAAGGTAGATTGAATATACCTACTTAATAAAAAGGGTCTTGGTAATTTCCAGGGTTATATGGAAGGAAAAAAAAAACGATTTGAAAAGTTAATTAAAAGAACCCTTCTCTCAGGTACCTATATTACGTCTTTCTATCTCAGGAAGATACCAAGATAAATTCACAAACAAAAGAAAGGTATAAATAATAAGATTGTGAAGACCCAGCCCAGTAGCAAAGGCGAATTTAAATAAAAAATATTGATGTTAAGTTTACATTAATTTTAATTTTCTATTACCATACCCGAAAAGCTGGGCACAACATTTCAACGTCATTGGAAGTATGTACGAACACAGTAACATGTTAGGATAACAAAGGGAGACGTTATGCTTCTAAGCAGGTGGGCAACACACGAACAAGAGGATACAGAAGGTTAAAGCAGACAAAGTTTTTATCAATTTTTTATTTTCAAAATCTCTAGAAATGCTCTGCTGTAGACTAGATGTTTCTTAAACAATTTTTAGTCAAAATTTTTAGAAGAATACAAGGAAATATATAAATAACTTTGCATAAAGTAATTGCCACGTGTTGTTACCATTCATAATTGAACCTAATATATTTTCAACGTTCATTAAGATTACACCAATTTAATTCGCCTGTTGACTCATCGCCTAAATGCGAACAGTACGAATTGTTTATAAGTAACAGTACAATAAATAATTAGATAATTATCAAGACGTTGTCATACTGGCGCCACAACGCATTATTTCAGAGATAAATTGATATAAAATTATTAAACATATTGAAGTAGGTATGGCTTCAAACTAGATTATTTACGACGGGCCTATTAATAAATAAACTTTTATAACCTCGATTTACAAAAGTAAAGGTGAGTAAAAAAATGTTATACTTATGTAAATAATACTACCTCGAAGAGGAGAAATTCAATGTGGGGTAGGTAATGAGAGTCCTGGATTTTTGAAGTGAAACTTCATGCGAGTTGCTATTTAACGAAATCATGCAACGGATGTCCCCCCCTCTACTCGGTCACGTAGTCGAGTTCGTAGTGGGGATCGCTTGAGCCGTGAGCGCGCTTCAATGCAACGTTCGTTACAGGCAACTCCGGCATGTATAGTATAGCCCTAACAGAATGTATGAATGTATTTGTATGTGTTTGTGTATGTGTGCCTACACTCTACAGTCGAAACGATGCCACTGACACCAATTCCTTAACCCCTATCCCGGTATGTTTGTTTGAAAAAGTTTCATTTAAGTAGCGTGTTGTTTAATTACACGTTGCATTTTTTTTTTGCTTTTTTTGATAGGTTATGCAAGGTTAGGTTATACTAGGCGCTCTAATACTCAGGGCTACATTAGTCAACCGCAATCTAGCGTTCAGTATGTGGTCTCTTAATGTGTAATTTAAAACCGTACCAATTTTTTTGTCAAATAAGAAACCAATGCATGAAGCCCAGATACAGTCGACGAGCAATTCTTCTGGGTTTAATGAGAATGACAAAGTGTTGTTGTAGAATCCATCGCCGTTACTCAACGTATCAGCGACGTTGTCTGTCGAATTCAGAAGGGACTTTAGGTTAAAATGAAGGCCGTCCATCTTGATCAGCTCTCTCCCTACAGAGGTGACATCGCTGATCGGGATGATCGGCTTCAAGAGGGAGGGGGCAGTGTTACGGGCAGGCAACCCAATATACACAGTTACGTCATATTCTGGATCTTTCTAGAACAAGTCCAGCCTCAATTACTATGTTTCATTCTTACGGCTGATGCTGGTCCCATCGATTTACACCCGCGATGCAAAGTTGTAGGTAACGCAGAATCTTTAGGAATCGTGGGAATGAATAGATAGTGGAGGTTAGGTTATGAGACAGATGAGATGACGCCAGAAGATTGAGAGACTGTCTGTGAAGGGGTGGGTACTTCCGCTGGAAGAGCGGAACCGGGACAAAAGCAAAGAATTTTTCAACCCTTAGATTTATGTACAAGTATGTCAACAGAATTCGACAATAATGGATCTTTAACTAAATATAAAAAGAATTTGACGTACACCAATCTACAACCAGTCTCGCGTTGATAATGCCCTCGTTTGAAGTAGGCGAAACACGTGTCTGCTCAGTAAAATTGAAAATTGTGTTAGTGGTAATTCGGGTGAGTTTCCCATTTTATTTATTTATTAATTTACCACAGTCTCCCTATTTCTATTTTTATCAGTCATATAGCATGTATTTTTGGAAGAAACCTCCAGGTTAAGGTCATGAAGGTCTTTGTTTAAAATTAGTTAGATTAGGATTATAAGTTAAGAAAGAAAAAGGCAACTCTTTTAAAATTATGAGCACAAAGTAAAATATTGAAAAAAATATTATTATGGATACTCAACTATGTGTTAATGTTACCGATGGAAACTGGGAGATCGCACTGAGTTGATTCAGTCCACTTTGGTTTTCAAGTTTACCGAAATTTCAAATTTAATTAGGACGATCTTCTGAACCTTAACATAACCTTGAAGGGATGCACAATAGGTACTACTTTGTATTAGAAATATTATAATCGAATAAAATTTTATCTGTCTCTTTTTTGGGACCCAACTCGATATAACTATGGTTACTTTTATCACGAAGATTGCCCAATAAGGTTATCAATCTTTTAGCTTAATTTCCTTTGATATGTGTAGTACGTAAATAATGATAATCAAAGCGTAAAATAGCAATTTGCTTATTTTTATCAACCAAACGATTTGACTTTCTCATTTGCTGATCGACAGATTTGTTTCGGTTAAGTACACGCAGCACAACAACAACGTGACA